TGCGGATAAGTGGGTGTCTACACAGCGACACCACAAATGTGCTCGCTATTCCATTTATGACTGTAAAAAAATCCATTGCCATTTAAGACATGTGCGTGTATAGACCACATGCATCCTTTGGTTTCCCTCATCATGCATACCACTGTAATCCGAACGGAATCATTCTTTACATATTTGAACCGAAATCCACACTCAACGGAATACTTGTAAAGAACCGTTCGGAACTTAGTAGTTCCCCTCTCAAAACTTTGCCCAACATATTGAATCCCATTAGCCCACGAAGCAGACAAAAAAACCTTTTCTACATGAGGACAAAATTTGGCTAGTAAATCTTGCTCACCATCCACGTCTGATTCGTCAATGGACTATACGTCTGACATGGGACGGTCTGTGCATTGTGTGGCGGGCTATCAATGTTATTGGCATCTTCGACATCTCACAACTGAATGATGACGTCAACACATTGTAGGCGAAAAGACCGTGCAAGTGAGACCATGTTCTCCATATCAACATCGTTTTTCAATGTGTAGTTATTGTAACCTGGTATTTTGAAAAACAAACACACATTATTGGCTGTCAACCCCAAAAAATTGCCACACACATGGTTCACCAGATCATGACAACAAACCAGCATGACATGCGTGTCCATTACCTGTATACATTTAACACAACATCACTAACATAACCCATACCAGACAATGTCACACAACTCCCCCCGACTACGACAACCCCGACCTCAACCAGTGGCACAAATCCCTTACTAATAACATACACGCAACCCACCCATTGAGTCCTTCACCCCTTCAGTTCATCGACTACAACACTTACTATTGTCAAGTCGTAACACACCACTTGGAAAACAAAAATGATGACACCCTAACATGGATACAAAGAACCCCGTCACAAAAACTGAGACTACCCACAAAACAAAACAACTCTGCATTATTATGAAGGGAAAAAAATACATACCTGCATGACGGTGAGTTTGACGACCAGAAAATGCTACCCCTGCTGCGACGTCACACAGACGGCGTACCCCTCCCTAGAAAACCCAAAACCCTAACAGTCAAATTGTGGAAATGTGTATCACCGAATCAATGAACTTACCAAAAATGAAGGTGATCCCACCAAAAATAACCCAATGAAATAGGAAAGGGCATAAGTGTCAACGCCTCACTACCAAAGTTGAAAAATAGGATCAAATAGATCTAAACCTCTCCACCAGTGCGACTAATCCAATAAACATTTCAAAAATGTGACTAGTTGGTATAGTTGTTTATGAGATGGGATTTATTGGTAAATATTCCTAAAAAGTTATCTTTTTTTCTTTTTCTTTGTTTGGGTTACCAAACACCTTTTAGTGGGCTTTGTTATAATATTTTTTTATCAAATATAGGAATGCACTTGTTTTGGGAAGTAGGAAAAAAAATTTATTTATTTATTTATTTTCAAAAATATTTTAAAAAAGTAGAGAGATGGTATAATCTAAATAAGTCAATAAGTCAATAAACTGTCTTTTTTTCATATTTCCCAAAGAGGCCTAAATTATTGGTCATATATCATTTGAGAACAAGGAGGGTTGTGAATAGGGATGTAATCAATTAAGTATAGTCAGTTATTAGGCAAAATTTTTCATCAAACCGATAATATTGGTTTTATTATTTTGAGCACCGCTATAGACCATTTCTCCAATCAAACTGCACCAATTGAAATTGTTCGGTTCAGCGCAGTTTAATCAGATTTGGGGATGCTGCTGCGCGGGCTGCGTAGCAGCATCTGCTGCACGCCCAAAACAACGTCATTTTGGGCTCCAAGGTTCTTTCAAAAAATTCCAATGGTATTGAGGTTTGATCCCTGGACCACTCCAACAGGTGCAACGCTCTTACCACTGCACCACTTTGTGTCCTCATTATTATTTAGGACACATATATTATTTATTATATTATTCAAATGTATACCCAAGTGCAATGTCATCAAAACTAAAATAAAATAAATTAAAAAAAAACAACTGTATGTATGTAAATCTAACTACATGGATGTCATCATCTCTCTTTATTTTGTGGTTCTTAATTTCATAGTGAGAGAATAAATAATGTCTAGTTCATTTAATTTATATTTTTTATGAATTGATGACGCCACTCAATTCAATATATATTTGCACTTATTCATCTAAACAAGAAGCAAAATGACTACTTCAAGAATAAACAATATAATTCATCAAATCAACAATTAAAAAATAATAATTATTAAGTTATGCCAAAAACTACAATATGTCCATCCAAAACAACATTAAAAAAATTCCAAGGCTCAAATAAAATTCTATAAAACCCATTCGAAATATTCAAAATATGTCCTAAAAAAAAAAACATTATCTAAGAATTACGATAAAAAATTAAATAAAAATACTACATTTCAATTCTGTGGGGTAGGTTGTGAATGACTACAAAATTTTTAAAAAGTTTTATTATCTAAGAATGGCTCACCCCCCTCCCCCCTCCTCCGGTGGGATTGAGCTCTCCTTCATCAAATGACATCTCCTAAAAAAATAAAAATGAATAAGTGTGAGAGAATATTTTGGTTTATTTTTTTATTAAAAACAAACTACATTACAAACTTAAATTGCATACCTGAGAAGTTTGTGGATTAACTGATAGTTGTGAAGATAAAAGGGTAGACTGTGGGTAACTTGATGAGCACGCAATGTTAGTATCGTCAAGCTTGAAAAGATTGTGACCATAATTCATCAATTGTGGCCAATAGGGTATCCTAACATCCTAATATATATATATATATATATATTGTAAAATCTTGATCGGGGTTTAATCCTTGAGATTTAATATAAAAAAAATTGTTTCACAAATCCGAATGGCATGAATGGCACAACACCCTAGCATGGAAAACATTTTGTTTGAATGAACGAGTTCTGAACTAGATGTTGAATCCATAACTGACCAAAACAAAAAATATAAGTCAAAACAAAAAACAACCTAAAGGCAAGCCTTGATCCAAGTAATCATAACTGAGGGCCATGCCACAACTGTTAGAATCATAGACTTGACTAGCTCTAGACATGATCGCAGGCACGGTTAGATAGACCGTGAACGCGGACAACTAAGAAAGGGAGTAATTCAAACTACTGCGGGCGCAAACAACTAAGAACTCGCAGGCGCGGTTTAGACTACCATGGGCGCAAACAACTAAGAATTCGTAGTCATGATTCACCCTACCGCGAGAACAACACATGTGAGGCCCCTGAATTTTTGTAATTTCTTTCTAGACCCTTACTTTTGAATTATAAAGACCCTTGATTTCAATTTTACCTCTAGCGTTGAAAAATGCACGCCAATAAAAAAATCGCAAACCCTAATCAAACTTGGGAACTTATGGATTATTCTCAAAGACCCAAGAAGAATTAACTCTCTAATTATAGATTAATCATTCAAAACCTTAGGTTTTCGGTTCTCATTAAATTGTTGTTTCATGATTAAACTGTTTTGATAAATTATTATATTATCAATTGAATCAAATTGTTTCTGAAACATGTGTGAACTTGGCATACTGTAAACTGTTTGTTTTGGTCTCATGTTTATAATGATGAACTACCATGTTTTGCGAAACTGATGTGTATTGATTATTGGGACCATGTGTGTATTTAGTGCAGGGAAATTATTCCACTGTGTGTGGTGACTCTGGCCACTAGGGAACAGATCCGGGTTGGGCCGTGATGACTCTAGTGCTCAACGATTGTAAGGAACAGACCTTTAAAAACAACTAGGTGACCTTCAATCGGATCGTCTTTGAGAAAAGGCCCAGGTGCCACCCTGAGGATGACTCTTAGTTCGGTATTGGATCCAACGGGGCTTATAGCCTTGAGAACTGTGTGGCAGATTATTTGTTTTTCTTGGTACCCAGAAAATTATTGGTGTTCATGTTATAATCTGTTTTAAGTGGAACATGTCGTTTATCATGTTCTTGCGAGACATGAGTATTTTAAGTGTTGAATTGTGGAACCTTCTTTTTGAAACATGTTGTATTTACCAAACTGTATGCCAATCTAGTTTTTGTGATATATATCTTATTTTGGAATTGAACCCTGTTTTCAAAATTGTATTTACTATCCATGTTGCTACTCACTGAGCTATCAGCTGACTTAGTTGTTTACCATTTCCAGGTGTTAGAAGGACTTAGAGTGGACTCATGGCGTAGCGGGGACTCAATTGCATGGACCTCTAGGGCATTCCTTTTGTTTAGAGTGTTATGTCAAGTTTGTGCATATTTATATTTATTCTTATCGAAGTTCATTTAGGATTATTTTTGATATGTGGGTTGTTTATATCCCATAAGTTTGGGTGGTTTTTTATTACGGTTGATTTTGCCGTTTATAATTGTGACATGTCTGGATTGAGTTTTGGTTATTTATTATTGGACTATTGTTCAGTTGTTCAATGTAATTGGATTCGTATTTAGGCTTACGTGTGCCTTGGGCTAAGTCCCTGTGGGCCACGGCCGGTCATGCTCGGATTTGGGGTATGACATTATTATTAAGGACACATATATTATTTATTATATTATTCAAATGTATACCCACGTGCAGTGTCATAAAAAAATGCAGTGTCATAAAAAAAAAGAAAAAAAAAAAAACTATATGTATATAAATCTAACTAGGTGGATGTCATCATCTCACTTTATTTTGTGGTTCTTAATTTCATAGTGAGAGAATAAATAATGTTCATTTAATTTAATTTATATTTTTTTATGAATTGATGACGCCACTCAAGTCGATATATATTTGCACTTATTCATCTAAACAAGAAGCAAAATGACTACTTCAAGAATAAACAATATAATTCATCAAATCAATAATTAAAAAATAATAAATATCAAGTTATGCCAAAAACTACAATATGTCCATCCAAAAGAACACTAAAAAAAATTCCAAGGCTCAAACAAAATTCTATAAAACCCATTTGAAATATTCAAAATATGTCTCAAGGAAAAAAAAAAACCATTATAATAAAAATACTACATTTCAATTCTGTGGGGGAGGTTGTGAATGACTACAAAATTTTAAAAAAAGTTTCATTATCTAAGAATGACTCGCCCCCCGTGGGATTGAGCTCTCCTTCATCAAATGACATCCCGTAAAAAAATAAAAATGAATAAGTGTTAGAGAATATATTGGAATCAATTTATTTTTTTATTAAAAACAAACTATATTACAAGATTAAATTGCATACTTGAGAAGTTTGTGGATTAACTAATAGTTGTGAAGATAAAAGGGTAGATTGTGGGTAACTTGATGAGCACGCAATGTTAGTATCGTCAAGCTTGAAAAGATTGTGACCATAATTCATCAATTGTGACCAATAAGGTATCCCAACATCCTATTCATAAAATACTGTTAGAAGTAAATATACTATCATAAGAAAATTTAAATATAAAATATAAAATCTAACCTGTGAGCGGCATAAAGAGGAACTTTGAACAATTAATGTGTTGCTTGATTGGCCAATTTTCTAAACAAATTATAACATTTATCAATACATTGCATGAGTCAAAAAGAAAGCAAAAATTAGAATCAAATAGGTGAACAATACCTTACTAAGGCCGGTAGGTTATGAAATAATTTTTGTCCTCTTATTAGTCTTCTCGTGCCAAGGTTTTAATCTACCCCCACCCTTTTGTCCACCTTTTTTTTTTTTTAAGCCTTTAACTCGTGCAAAGCTAGGATTAGAACTCATATCAATGTTGCTTCCACTACCACAATCACCCAAATCATCAAATGATATCAACATTTTATTCACTTTTCTACACAGTTCCTTAATCCCTTCATCAACCAATTGATAAGCAGGCTAATACACAAATGCTTGAGTTGCTAGCTTTACCATCCTAGGACAAAGATCCCTGTAACGTGCTGATGTCTCTAACTTGGGATCATTCTCACCCACTTCAACTTTTCCTCCTTAATTTCACCACTCTTGGCATCTAATCTCCATCAACCTAATATGTATTTCTTAGAAATTTCCATAACATTCATTCTATCAAGTGCTTTAATTGGATGACCACATAAAATTCCAATGTTTTCAAACTTTTGACAAGTGCAATGAATTTTTTAACAAATTTTTTCTCCTCCTAACTCATTAACTTCCATATTACCCTTCACAATATACTCTGTATCATCACCATACAAGCTAATCACATACCAAACTTCTCCTTCTAACTCATGGCATTGCTTCACTCTACAAGAAAGAGACAAGTCAAACTCATTATGAATAAGTCAAAGAAAGGAGAGGTGTACAAATTTGCAACTTGGTTCAAAATTGGAGACCTGTTCAATTTCATTCTCGGCAATTGTTGTCTAGAATTATATATAGCTTTTGCTTCTTCGTACCGCTTATCTACAACAATCTGATTGAAGTAGGTAAAAAATTGAACAATATTATGATTAGCTTGCAAATACCTCTTTAATGTTGCGTTCAGGCTTTCACTAAGTTGGGTGCTTCGTATTCCTGCAGTGAACAAGTATTTCATGTATACGTGCGCCCATTGCTCTCTTTTTTCTCAAGTCTTCTTCATCAACGCATTCTCATACAAGTTGTATTTATCAAGCAAAGAATCCCAAGCTTCAATTAACTCATGTTCATCCTCGCATCTAAAAATACAAGCTTTGAAATCACTACCAAATTTTGAACCACTCTTATACAAGTACCCTAAATGTTACAAAGCATTTTGCATTAGGTGAAAAGTGCATAATCCATGGAAAACCTTAAGCATGACTTCAAATATTGCCTTAGTAATTGCCTGATCTTGGTCTGTGAAAAAACTGGTAGGCTTTTTCCCCGACATTGCATGCAAGAAGGTTTCAAATAACCACTCAAATGAATCTATAGTTTCATCATATAATAATGAGGCACCAAAAATCATATCTTTCTAAAGTGGTTAAAGCCAGTAAATAAAGCTAGTGGTTGATACTCCTTGTTTGTGCGAAATGTTGTGTCGAATGATACGACATCACCAAAAAGTTCATAATTTGTAATCATCTCATGGTCAGCCCAAAAAACATTAGTAATCATCTCATCCACATCCAATTGAATTGCATAGTAAAAATATGGATTTTCAGCTACTTGTTGCTAAAAATATCTTAATAAACTCCCAGCTTCTCCATATTGCAAATTTCGTTGTCTTTTTCCACACAACTAGCTTTTTTGGTCTTCTCTTGTGAATCTCAAATTTTCTTTTTCCCCTGCTAAGGCACTAATGAGATCATGTGATGCTTTAAGAGAGATACCAGTGTCATCAGCTATATCAACATTGAAAGCCTGAGCCTGACATAACTTTCTTTGAGATGGTATCAAATGTGTGCACTGAGGAAGATGCAAAGTATGGTTGTGGTTGTCATCAAACTTTTTCACTATCCACTTCGACAAGTCTTGATCCAAAGATACATACATAAATGCATTGCACTTTGTTCTTGTCTCATGTTTAGGATGATTTACAATCATGTACCGTTTATCTTTTTCTTTTTCTCCCTGCTTACAACAAACAAACTTCCTGTTAATCATAGCACCATCTTTTTTACTTTTGCTATGGTAATCTCCTCTAATGCCAAACCCCATAATCCTTCCATATTCATTATAGGAATTGATGTGCGACTTCCTCTGAATGAAATTCCATGCCAAGACGTGGTGTTTTATCTTTGGTCAACTCCCCCATATCTTTGCTACAACCCTCATGTCCACCATTCTCTATTCTAACACCAACAAATCTAAAAAATTGAGAACAAATATAAAAGTAAAGTAAGATTTTTTGAGATTATCATGACATAAAATTTATATAGATGTCACCGTAAAAAAATAATAATAATAATAATAACAAAATAAAATATTAGTCTTTGTTTATAATTTTTATAATTTTTTATTCCACTTATCTAATAAGATGCCAAGTTTTATTATTAAAATTTTTAGAATTATCTTATCTAATTTTGAAGTAGCATAACATATTCTCCAGAATATAATGCCTTCTGATTAAAAAAAAAAAAAAAAAAATATTTCTAAACTCAAAACAACGTAACATTTAATGGCAGAGAACAAATTGACAAAGAGCAATCACCAATTGACCAATTGAAAGAATTAAGATTCATCTTTTTTTATTCCACAAAATTCATCATTACAACAATATGTTGTTGACAAATAAAATGATAAATACACTACGGTATAACAATATGATAGATGTAACATTATTGTTCTTAATTTTGAAAATATGAAATAAAAGTTAAACAATAAAAAATCTTAAATTTAGTCATTCATTAATTTTAGAATATTTCATATTAATTTATTTATATATTTTATTGTTCACTTCATTGATGTCAAAAAATAAATAAATAAATAAATTGTAGAGACTAAACAAAGCAATGCACAAAAGGGCAACAATAAAGGTAGACACATCTAGCATCTAGTATTAATAACCAAAGCAATAGTTCTAAAGACATAGAAAAAAAAAAAAACGTTGTAACATTCAGCAGGTAGGGAAAAAAAAAAACCAACCAATCACAATCACAATATTGAAGAAAATTATATGTTTTTTTCTTGAGGCCTACCAACATTCAAAGAGAAAATATGTTGTATTCGTACAAACCTAAATAGCATGGTGCAAGAGAAATAGAGGGTCTCCGATGAAGGTAATAAAAAGTGTCTGGCAAAGGTAGATAGATGGTTGGCTGATGAGAACAAACTTTTTAGGGTTTTGAAAAATTGATAGCTGAGAGTTTATTTGATATTATAAAAATAAATTAGAGTAAAATAAATGGCAAGATCTTAAATGGTGTAGTTTTGTTTTTTAAGATTTTTTTAAAAAACAAAATTCCAAAACGGAACTGCAATAAAAATTCCAAAATGGAATCGTTGCGTACTAAATATTTATAAGGTATAAATAATATATGTGTCCTTAATAATAATGAGGACACAAAGTGGTGTAGTGGTAAGAATGTTGCACTTGTTGGAGTGATTCAAGGATCAAACCTCAATATTGTTGGAATTTTTTGAAATAATCTTGGAGCCCAAAACGACGTTATTTTGGGTTTGGGTGTGCAGCAGATGTTGCTGCGTAGCCCCAAATCCGATTTGATCAATTTAGCTAGTTGTCTACCACTTCAAACATTTTCAATCTATCCATTTAATAAATACTTTCCAATTCTTAGATTAATAAAAATAGTAACAAACAAAAAAAATTAATAAATACTAAAATTTCAAGAATAGTGAGTTACAATTAAGATTATATATAATACAAGTTTATTAACTTAGGTTACAGAGATAATAAAGTTAATTAATTGAGGTTAATAATTTATTATACTTATTAATATCATTATATTATTAGATTATTATATATATTATATAAATATAATATATGTTGAAGTGGTTGATTTCAATTTAATTCGGTGTACAAGGTGTTTGAACTGATACCGAACAGAAAATTGAAAAAAAAAATTATAAAACCAAACCAATTTGATCCAATTCAATCGATTTAATCAATTTTTTTTATTTTTCTTCCATTTTCTTCTTAGGTTGATTTGTATGCTGTTCTGTTAATCTTGCCTTTCAAAATTTAAAAATAAAAGGGGAGTTATTGAATTCAATTGATGTTGTCGTTTTGATAATATTGTTCAGAGTGTGTTTTGTTATGTCTGGTAGATGTAATATTACATACAGTACTCTATGAAGGACATGAATAAATGAAGAAGAACTACCGACACCACACATGGGACCTGAAGATGCATTGCTGGGAAAGTGGGAAGAAACTACGAATATGACGAAAAAGGCCAAAAAAGAATATTTAAAAAATGAGAAAAAACAAGCCCAAAATTAAATTTTTAAAGAAAAAGCCTAATTCACAACTGCTAGCACAGTCGCGAACTCTATTTGCACAAACCATAATTTGTTCTGTGGGTGGTTGCAGGTTCAATTTTTCTTAAACCACAGATATGCTGGCGGGTCCAAATCACAAATTGAACCATCAAAAACCGATTTACGAGCACCCTAAGGTAAGCAGAAGGAGGATTGGGTTTGTGGAGCCTATTTGACCATGTGGTGGCAAATTATTTTTGAATATTAATGGTATATTGAAGTAATTTTTTAATGTAAACTATAGCATATATATGAGTGATGTTATTTGCACTCATCTTATTTTTTTAGACCCTTACTTATCAAAAATGGTTTTTCAATTTTTTTTTTATTTTTTTAACATCTATCATAATCCTAATCATTACCCCCATTTCTTTGGACCCCACCTTTACCATCCCCATATTTGATAGCAACTTCCTAACGACCACCGCATCTCCTTGCTACCTCCCCACCTTCGATAATCACGTTCCCTTCTCAACCATAAAGAGAGAGAGTAGGAAGTGAGAGCTTGAGGAGGTGGCGAGGAGGGGCAAGGGGTGGTGAACAAGAAGGGAGGGATGGTGAGGGCGGTCGAAGATATTAGTAAACAAAACGAGGGGCTAAAGTTGTGGAGGTATATGGTGCTTTGGGTAAACATGGGATAAGGTTAGGGTTTTGGAAAGTTAAGAATAATGATAAAATTGGTATTTTATGATATAGTGAAATTGTAATTAAAAAATGGAGGGTGGGTATCTACATGTATATGAAAAATGCTTCAGGTCTCAAAATTTTGAGGCTTGAATGTCTTGAAATTGTTTTTTTTTTTTTTTTTTTTTTTTTTTTTTGGCAAGGGTGGTTATGTGTATGAGTGTGCTAAAAAATTAGACATCTCGCATCAATTCAGCATGTGTGATTTGATAAGGTAAGTGAGTTAGGTTAGACTGGTTGGGTGATAAAATTGATTGATCAGTTAGGCTGCTAGTTAAAATTTGTTAATTCCATATAGTTTTGTACAGCCTAACTGATCAGTCAATTTTATCACCCAACCAATCTAACCCAACTCACTCACCTTACCAAACCATACATTGTCCTTTTTAATTTAGTAGATGGTTGAGGTTGACTATTTTCGTAATTTTATTTTGTTAGTTTTTTTTGTTAATTTTTTTCATCATTAGTGAATTTTTTTTAAAAGAATTCAAAAAGTTTTGTACTTATACGTTCTATTCAACTAGATAGACCAAAAAAAATCAAAATCCTTCATAAAAACTCCAATAGTGACAGAATAAAAAAACAAAAAAATAGTTCGCTTTTTAGCCTTTTTTTAGTCTTCAGTATTTTTTTAAAAATTTTTACTTTTTAGATTCGTTTACACAAAGTAGACCTAAAAAGTATAAAATTTAACATAATTTAAAAAAAAAAAGATTACTAAAAACAAAATGTTTAAATATATATAATTTTTTTAGCTGGATGACAAACACGGTATAGTTTACTAATGTGAGCCATAAAGAAAGGGATACTAAGGCTTAGGGATATTCATTTCCCCCAACTCGCTCTGCTCCCGCATCTCTTACCTCGCCTTGCATGAGTTTTCTGTGTCCTGATAAAGGCCCTGTTTGGTAGAGCTGTGGAAAAATGCTTATAGCTTATGCCTAAACAGCTTATAGCTTATAACTATGAACATAAGCAGATTTCTGACTTATAAATTAAGCATCTCCTGGCCCACTTAAAGAATAAGCTGATTTCTGACTTCCAAAAAGTTATAAGGTAAACCAAACACATCAAAATAGCTTAAATTAAGCTGAAAGCTGAAATAAGCAGCTTTTAAGCTGCACCAAACAGGCACAAAGAAGTGAAGCAGGAACAAGTTTTACTTCCCCCAGCCTATTCTACCCAATGCCTGCCTTGATTATAGTTATTAAATATATTTATATACATAATTTAATTTTAAGGCATTTACACACAAGTTCTAATTTATAAACTTACTAGTGCATGCTCGTACCTAAAGGCACGGTGTAAATAATGTTAGGATTAGAATATAATTGTAATTTCAATACCATTTAAATCTATTTTTTAATTTGATAAAATCACAAATTTATTATAAAATTTTTGAATTCTCACAAAACTCCTCATGAAAACTCATTTTTGCTTATATAATATATAGCTAGACAGATAGATGTGTCTGGCATACATACAATATTGCTTTTGCTTATATAATTATATGAAAATTGTATGTATACCCGTAATGTCCTAATGTATTACAGGGCATACATACATTGTATGGAAATATGTGTAAAATATATTGAACAAAAACGAGAAAATAAAAAAAATAAACAAATAGAGAGAAAAATAAAAACGGAAGAAAATAAAAATAAATAAAAAGAAAAGAGGGAGGAAGGAAGGTGGGATCATGGAATCATGAAAGGATGGGTGACAAAAGGAAAAAGTAAGGGAGAGAAGCGGAAAAGTAGAAAATGTACATGTAGGATATTTTTTAAAAAATATATCCCAGCCATTGTTTTATAATTTGAACAGATCTGAGCCATCTAGATGTCATAGTAGGACAAAAATATGTTGAAGATTCAAAAACCGTCCTGCGTTATTATATAGATGTTGAAGATTCATAGGAGATCTAAATTTATGAAGTCGATCAAATATTCAATATATTTAAAAATAATAATTAATTATTAAAATTCTTTTAATTTGTGGACTATAAAATTCATTAATTTAATCTCCACTACACGCAGTAAAATCTGGCTCCAACTTCTGGTATTGTAGACTTTTCCATATAATATGAATAAAAACAAGTGAACAAAAATGAGAAAAAAAAAAAAACAAACAGAGAGAAAAATAAAAAGGGAGAAAATAAAAAAAATAAAAAGAGAAGAGGGAGGAATGTGGGATCATGGGATCATGGAAGGATGGATGAG